CCCTGTCTCTTGTAGCTAACAAAGTGAGAAAGAGCCTGTGGCCTAGTGGCTAACATCTCTGCTTAACATGCAGACAGCCCAGGTTCGAATCTCAGAAGGGTATGTCTGGCTGATGAAAACCAAATAAGGTTTGAAATAGCTATCCCAGTTCTCCCTTAATTCTTTGTTAGCAATTCAAATTTTGGAACATATATATATACAAAAAAGATCTGCGGCATTCCCAGAAAAATAAGGAAACCGAAGGGAAGGGTGATGGCCAAAACTGACCCTAGGTTCTGCCTCGGCTTACTTATTCCAATAAGCTATTGAGTCGGAAGATCACTTAAAAGCAATTTATTAGAGTATTCTGATAAAGTGGGGTCTCCCTATGAAAAGGGGAAACCTGGAAAAATGGCTTACATTTAATTTTTATAGAACTTCAAAGTTTATTGTTTTATAAATAATCATTTATCCAGTTACATCATGAGTATTAATATGTGAGCATTTAGGACTGAAAAGAGCATTGTATTCTGAATAAAAATAAAAGGAACATTGGCAAGAGAAAAATGTGAGAATGGGTAAGGGTAAGATATGTTCTCAGTGCTTTCCTAACTTGGGCTTGAATATTTGCTTTGTTCACAGAGGCTTGAAAATAGATGAAAAGGAAACTTTTATCTACAATGTATGGAATGCTTTCCTGCCAGTAATGGTTCCTAAAAGGGAGACTTATGGCAAATCATTGGCAATACATTTGAAAAAGGAAAATTTAAAATACAAGAAAACCCATGTTGCTTAGCCAGTGCAACAGTACTACAAAAACTATATTTCAAGTGTAAGGGGTCAGCAGATACGTGAAGGACATGAGGTTCCAAGAAGGCAAATCAGGAGACTCAAGTGGAGGCTTGCAAGTCAATTTTGTGACAAAATGCTTTCTGTCATTAAGAAACAGCAGCAGTACCAGGATACAAAAAAGTCCAATACAACAAAGCAGTCCAACTACATTAGCATAGTTCAGTTCATCGGGAATTGTCCTTAGTCGGGCGGAAAAAGTTCTGCAGGGCTTGCAGGGGTTTTCCAAAGAAGCACCTTTAAGTTGGTTAACTTCTGGGCTTGCCACTGGACGGGAGATGGGGACACCTTCTTGAGTCTCCAGCCATGGCTCCATGCCTTAATTCCTTCTACCTTCACTGCAGTAGGAGTGCTCAGAAGGACTTGACGAGGCTGGGACCACTTTGGATCAGTGCATAAGGGGAGACGGTTCTTTTACACGAACCCACTCTCCAGGCGCAGCAAGAGGAGGTGCTTCAGAAGCAGGTAGCAAAGCAGCTTGAGCTTGTGCTGAGATAGAGGATAGA